TCAGACATGTCCTGTGACCCATGTTGGAGAGTACCTGTTGGCCAGTACTGTGGGCCTGAGTGCCTAGTTCTCTGTTTCCTTCGTGAGTTCATTTGGGGCTGAACTCCCTGGGAGTCAGTTCTGGCAAAGAACAAAGTATAGGCTGTAGAGTCACCAGAGCTCCTTGGATCCAAACAGGGCTTGCTCTGCATCCTCGCCCACTGTGCCACAGACATCCAGCCATTGGCCACTGTGTGCATGCTCATCTTCTCGTCCCTCAGCAGACATTAGACTGGGATAACCGGCAGGGTGGTTGTTTAGGGTTTTTATTTACTTGGTGGGTTTTTTGTTTTGTTTTTCTTTTTAATAGGAGAAAAATAAAGCTGGAGATCTAAAAACAGCTGCTGAGAAAACAGCTACAGACAAGAAACGAGAGCGCAGGAAAAAGAAGTATCAGAAGCGTTTGAAAATAAAGGAAAAGGAGAAGCGGAGAAAATTGCTTGAAAAGAAGAACCCAGATCAGCCTGGGAAGTCCACCAGAGCGGCAGCTGCAGAGAAGCTGAAACAGTTGACCAAAACAGGCAAAGTGTCCTTGTTAAAGGTAAGTAGGAAGTGGCGCCTGTTGGGGGACTTCATGGCATGCTTTGGGCTGTCTCTCAACTAGGGTGTCAGAGCTGCCTCTGGGTTCTGGAGCACACTGCTCAGCGGTGGCCTCAGCACCCTTCAGACTTGCTGTAGACCTTAGCAGTGACAGGCCTGGCAGCAAGTTTCCTTCTCTCTTTTCCCTGAGATACAGGGTGTTGTGATAATGGAATGTATTTACGTAGCCGGTTGAGTTTTTGCAGTGGATTTTCATGTTTGTGCATCTGTTCATTGTTGTGATCATAATGTACTGTAGGCTTTGGGTTTTCTCATATAAGCACGTTTTGTAACATCTGTTTTGTTTTCACTGCAGGATGAACGGAAAGATAAGCCCTTAAAGTCATCTCAGGCATTCTTTTCTAAATTGCAAGATCAAGTAAAAATGCAGATTAACGATGCAAAACAACCAGGAAAGATAAAGAAGAAAAAGCAGGACATTTCTGTTCATAAATTAAAGTTGTAATATATTTGAATTCATGTATAAATCTGTAAGTTTCTGTCACTATTCTATTTTATAATAAATTCTTGAGGCCTGTCTTAGTTTGCTTCTGGTTGCCTTGATAAAGACCATGACCAGAGCAACTTGTGGAGGAAAGGGCTATTTCATCTTACAGCTTACAGTCCATCACTGAGGAACTCAAGACAGGAACTGAAGCAGAGACCGTGCAGAATCACTGTTTATTGTCTTGTTGTCTGTGCCTTTTTCCAGCTTGCTTTCTTATACAACCCAGAACTACTTACTTAGGGATTGCACCACCCATAGTTGGCTGGGTCCTCCATCAATCATTAATCCAGGAAATGTCCACCGACTTACCTACAGGCCAGTCTTTAAAGCCATTTTCTTAAGTGTTTTTTGTTTAGTTTGGTTTTGTTTCTCACATGATCCTGTCTGCATTAAGTTTACAAAAAAGATGAAGTAAATAACCAGCCAGCGGAGACCCATCTTTGCTTGATGGAACTCCTTGAGACTTCACAGTGCTGTGGCAGACTTAATTGGGAAGCCTCTCTGAGACTCGGGGTGGCACACACCCATAATCAGAGCCACTGAGGAGATGGAGGCTGGAGGATCAGAAATTCAAGAATTTTGTTAACTGAAAAGTGAGTTGGAGGTCAGGTTAGATCACACTAGCCCTTAAATCAACAAAAACCAAATAGACTGTCTGGGTTTCTCTGGGTGTGAAGGGGTCTGAGCTTCCCCATCCCCTTCCTGCATTGGTGCTGTCCTGCTGATTCCACTGATGTGCCATGTTGCCTGCTGAGACACACCCGGAGCCAGCCACATTCCTTCCTCACAGCCAGCTGTCTATGGACATAGTCCTCTGAGTTCTTGATTTTCTTCTCCTGCTATTATGACTTATTTCACAAAACAACACTTTCATGTATGTGGCTTACAGCTTTCGCCTTTGGAAAATCTTAATACCTGGACAAAGGGTTACTGCTACAGTTCATAGTAAGACTCAGAGAAGACGGACATATGATCTAGAAGGGAGTCCAGAAGCAACAGGCTCCGTACAGCTTAGAATATGGACTGGCAGTCTTCAGAGTCCCCTGGGTGTTAGCATTTAGACCTCTACTGGCCTGCCCTTAGGGTCCTGATAGGATGTACCTCAGCTGCAGCCACTAAGAGCACCCCCGGTGCACATTTGCTACATTTCCTGATAAAAGACGGCCTTGTACAACCGGTCCCCAGGGACCGGTCCCTGCCCCCTTCTCTGCTCCTCCTCTCTCCCCTTCCCCTCAATAAACCTCCTACGTGGACCCTGCTGTATGGTGTGACTCCTTCCCACCGTTTTTAAAATACAACACCGGGATCACCAGTGTCCATTGCTCAGACCTCCCCACTCAAAAAAAAAAAAAAGCCTTTCACTGATAATGCCATGACTGGATGGAAAAATCACCAGCCTTAATCCAGCTGGGCAGAGAAAGAGACTCAGATTAAGAATGACTGGAAAGGCTCTAGTTTCTCAACTGCAGAGACTTAAACCCAATGATGAAGAAGATCCCATTTAGAGTT